CCCCAAACGAGCCTGGGATCACTGCGCCGACCCGCTAGCGCCCGTGGCAAGCACAAGGCCCTCCCACGGCTTGCCTCTAGCCCACGCTGTCGCCCCCCCCATAGCCAGGCCCATGTAATTCTGGCGCCGTTTAGCAGCCGGACACAGTCTTGGCCAGGCCGCTGGCGGTTTCGAAACTGCTAGCTTAATGTATTAATTTTTTTTTTCATCCAAGAAATCTCTAAAAAATTTAAAAAAAATATTGAAAAATCTAAAAATTCCAAAAAAATTCTAGAAACTTCTCTCTTCCCCCAAAAAATACTATAAATATGCCCTAGGTCCAGGGGGAACTTGCTCCTTCTTCTTTTATCCCTCTAACTTTCTTACAGTCGAGGCATTCCACTATTTTTTAGTATATATTTTTCCCTACTTAATTCAGCGCCCCTTCTCTTGTACAGAAGTTAGAATTTTTCCTTCTTTTTCCTTCTTTCTCCTCCATTTTTCTTCTTGCTCTAAAGGTCTTTCGCTGTTTTTCTTAGGTGACTTTTCCTACTTAAATATAGTGCTCCTCTTCAGTGTAGAAGAAAAAATTTTCTCCATCCACTGTATTCTCCTCATGCTATCTTCTTACAGTCGAGGCATTCCGTTGTTTTTTGTAGACGACATCCCCTACTAAAATTCAAGGCCCATCTCCGTATGTAGAAGTTTCAATTTTTAAATACATTACTTTTCTTCTTCTATAGTCTTCTTCTTACATTGGAGACATTCCATTACCGAAGATAGGCGGCATTCCCCTATCGAGCTTCAATGACCCTCTCTTATGTAGAAGGATATATTTTCCTCCTTATTCTTCTCTTGCATTCTTCTTCCTATATTGGAGGCATTCAACTGTCATAGATAGGCGATATTCCCCTATCAAGCTTCAATGCCCCTCTCTTGTGTAGAAAGAGTAGCGATGAGAGGCTATCTTCTTAATAGACAACCCTTGATAGAAGAAGATCAATTGCTGCTTGTATGCGAGGGTGATTTGAAAAGATCTGGTGATAATAGTGTCTGGGAGGAGAACCAAAAGTGATGAGTAGACGAGGGTAATTTCAACGCCATTTGAGCGAAAGTCTGTTGATAGTTAACGGTCAAGTGGAGAGTTGAAGGAGAGAGTTGGAGGATGTGCTACAAGTAGTAGTCGAGTGATAATCTGATGATGGTTGATATGAAGTAAACGACCGTCGACAAATATCAGACGAAGGGCCGATGATGGCAGTAGTCCAGTGGTATTTTTCTAAGGCAGTATGCATCCATATGGAAGTGTGCCGACATTAGATATCCCCGATTCAAGGAGACAAAGCAGTGTGCCATGTTAGTAGTTTGGTGACACACATATAGTGTCAACTGGGTTGAGGCATGATGAAAATCAAATTGTAATCTTTCTTTGAAGATAAAGTTGTAGGAGATGCTTCAATGTGCAATAGAGAAGAGGTCGATAAAATATGTTAATTTGACATTTTTGAAGTTATTTGTTATTTGATGACTTACACATATGATACGGATAACTTTTAATTTCAGGTTCTAGTAAATATAAATGTACACTTAAACTTGATGTACAATTTTGCAATATAATTCCAATGATATTTTATATGAAGTTGAGATTACTGTATGAGCTCGATACTTATTTTTCATTTGAAATGAACTAATCCTCTAAAGAAAACTAAGTTTTTTTTATGCCTATTTGAGATATGCTTTAATATATGTGTCTTTCGTGCTCTTCGAGATTTTTTAGCCTTCTATGATTTTTGTATGCATGTACCTTTTGTGATTTTTGGGCCTTCCAAGATTTTGTATTCATGTGTGGAAGAGGCCGAGAGAATCCACCAAAGGTTTATGACATTTCCAAGGTTGCATGTCAGAGTATTGCTCGATGACGTTAACCTAGATGGAAGATGTTAAGAGAATCCGTCAAGGATGTATGACCTATCCAAGGTTGTATGTCAGAGCACCGCTCAATGATGTTAACCTATATAGAAGAGGTCGAGATAATCCACAAAGGATGTAAAACCTATCCGAGGTTGTATGTCAGAACATTGCTCGATGATGTTAACCTATATGGAAGAGGTTAAGAGAATCCCTTAAGGATGTATGGCCTATCCAAGGTTGTATGTCAGAGCACCGCTCAATGAGATTAACCTAAATGGAAGAGGTCGAGATAATCCACCAAGGATGTAAGACCTATCCGAGGTTGTATGTTAGAGCCTGCTCGATGACGTTAACCTGGGTGGAAGAGGTTGAGTGAATCCACCAAAGATGTAATTAGACCTATCCGAGATTGTATGTCAGAACCTTGTTCGATGACATTAACCTATGTGGAAGAGGTCGAGAGAATCCACCAAGGACATAAGACCTATTTGAGGTTGTATGTCAGAGCCCTACTCGATGACTTTAACATATGCGTAAGAGGTCGAGAGAGTCTACTAAGGATGTAAGACCTATCTGAGATTATATGTCAGAGTTCTTTGCTCGATGACGTTAACCTGTGTGGAAGTGGTCGAATCGAATCCCCCTGGGATCAATTTTTTTTTATTGCGAAGGAGAGAATGTCGCATGTATCCCTAATTAAAGGTAAAAAAATGGTCTATCTTTAGACCGTTACTATCTTTTTGAGGTGAAGATTAAGACCTTTCCCAACGAGTAGAAGTCCAGATATGGAATGTATAAAGCTTGTAATTGATCTGAAGAATCCTTGCATTTGCTAGGATTTTCTTGAAATATCATCTTGATATTGAAAGCATTGGATGATCTTTTTGACCACGGTTGGAGTCAAAGTTGCCCCCAGTCCGTATCTGATCACCATGAAATTGATGCATTAATAGTTGATGTTAGGAAGTTGACATGAACGATCTATTAAGTTTGGGGCAAAAATTACCCCCAATCAGGAACCACCTTCCCGCAGACGGCGCCAAACTGATGCATCCATGAGTATTCACAGAGGTAGAGAAATATAAAATTTAATGTCTTAACTTTGTAAAAAAATTTGGCACGCGATCAAATAAAGGGAGGCTGTAGCATTTCTGAAAAAGGGGGAAAAACCATGGGGCCTAGCCTAGTTTGAATGAATCCACTAGTATTGTAGTTGATTACAAATGAGATCCTTCCTTGGGGGGAAGGCCTTGGTTTGGTGTACATCATATGGAGTATATTACATGGTAAGAATATAAAGAATTACGATTGAAGTGTTCGTTTGGTCAGAAGGATCATAGTATAGTGATGGAGGTCAGAAGAATCATAGTCAGCGGGCGACAGAGGTCAAAAAGATCATTATCTAGCGATGGAGGTTGGAAGGACTGTAGTCGGTGGGAGATTTAAGTATGCAAGAACATAATTGGCAGGCGACGGAGGAAGAAAGGACTGTAGTTAGTGGGCGACGTAAGTTAGGTGGATCGTAGTCGGCTGACGACGGAGGTCAAAAGGACTATAGTCGGTGGGCAATGTAAGTTAGGAGAATATTAGCTGACGAGCGATGGAGGTCGGAAGGACTGTAATCGGTGGGTGACGTAAGTCAGGAGAATCGTAGTCGACTGGCTACGGAGATCGAAAGGACTGTAGTATAACGATGGATGTTAGAAGAACGGCGTTAGGTAGAAGTGTAGCAATAGAAAGAAATCCAGCATAAGATAGATGACTGGCAGAAGTCCGATAACGAGCGTCGGGTAGAAATTTGGCGACGAGCGGAGATCTGGCATCCGATAGAATTCTGACATTAAACGGCAACCGGGTGGAACTCCTGCATTAGATAGTATTCACGCAAAATTCCAGAGTTACTTGGAGATCGGACAGAATTCTCGCGTCACTTGGGTAGAATTCCGGCGTTGTTTGAAAGTCGGGCAGAATTCTGGCATCACTTGGGCATCGGGCATAATTCTAGCATCACTTGGTCTTCGGGCAGAATTCCGGCATCACTTGGGTGTGGGACAGATTTCTGGCATCACTTGGGTGTCGGGCAGATTTCTGGCATCACTTGGCCGTCGGGTAGATTTCTGGCGTCACGTGGACTATGGGTGGAATTCCGGTGTTACTTGGGCAAAATTCCAGTGTCACTTTGGCAGAATTTCGCCGTCACATAGGAGTAGGGCAGATTTCGGGCGTCGGGCAGATTTCGGGCGTCACTTGGGCGATGGGCAGAATTTTGGAGGTGGTCGAGGAGGAGTTTCTTCCCTCCTATCATTCTCTTCTTCTCTTCTTACTTCTTCTCTTCTTCTTCTTGCTTTGGTCCCCTCTCGAGAAAAAGGAGGTGTCTATTTATAGATTTATGGAATGGCATGGCCCGTAAATAGGTGAGAGATCAGAGGCAAATGTGAAGTGGTTCGGATCATCGGATGGACGGCTGATATTGAATCCTTTGATCGTGGACCGTTTGTCAGACATTTGAAGGTCTTAATGATATTGGAATTCGTCGATCATGGGCTCGTTGGATTCACCTCGTCGAGCCAATCGATTTGACTATAATCAAATCATGTTTCAAAACCATTTGGTAACTCAAATTGTGGTTCCAACTTTCTGCCAGTGCTTTGGGTCCTTGATTTGGACTCATTTGGGCTCAGATTGAGTCGAATTTGGTGTCGTTCAGTTCATATTTCCGAGACGCTCAATTTAATTGTAAGTTTACTGAAATCGAAGTTCAAGTGATCCTAGATTTAATTTTTGAAGTTTCCGGCTTGATTTTGCCTCGAGATTTGTGCCGTATCGAGATAAAATCAAAACATTCTTATTAATAATGGAAATTGAAAATATCATCTAGTTTGAATAATCATGACTTAATTTGAGCTTTCCAAATTCATAAAATAAATATTATCCCTTCCAAAAACTTAAAATTTTATTAAATTTATTTAGGGATTTTTACATACATAACACTTAAAACCTATCTATTTACTTATATAACACCTAAACTTTAATATTTACTCTTCTACCACCTAAAAGCTCTATCCCTCCTCAAATATAACACTCTGTTTCTCTACCGTCAGAACCAACCCCCGAAAGCTGTATTTCGCGCTGGAATTTCTTTTTCGATGATGCGGCGGTGGCGAGAGGGGGTGCTAGCCTTCGATGATGTGGCGACTGCCGCTCAGCCTTCTCGGGACGTTAGGCATCGGCCTCCTCCAGATCAACGGCCGCTACTTGATAGCATCAAAGCCATACATCCCCAAAATCCGGGTCCCGTCCACCATGAATCTGCGCATGCATTTCTCAAAGTTCTCATATCAAAGGTAGCATCTAATTAAAAGCGATAGTTTTTGTTGGCTTACATAGTTTGTTGGGGATTCCAGATAACAGAGTAGGTGTGGAAATCCTTGGTGGGATCGAACCAGAGCTTGAACTGCATCTCCCTATTGCCCTTCCCCTGCGTGAACACGTTGGTGTGCAATGTGTAAGGGTCGCCGCTAAGGTTCCCAAGGAACTTGAAATAGATCTCATCATGTGTTGGCCCCTGAGACGATAACTGCGCGCAGACGAAGCAGTAGACACCATCAGTTCAATGAATTTCGAGCTCTTAATGGAGCTAACGGCATGAGAATGTTACTTACATAGTAGGCGGTGACGGTGCCGGCGGAATTGCCGGGGACGAGCTTGAGCTTCATGTCAATCTTGCCGAAGAGATACTCGCTCTTGGACTGGAAGTCGGAACCTAAAGCATTGTCGAGAGAAAGAGTCAAAAGCTGCCCATTATTGAGTATCTTTGCGCGACCGTCGCCCCAAGTAATGTCGAAGTCATTGTTGAAGCTTCCTGCGGCGGCGAGCGTAGCAACAAGCAAAGCGCACGCAAATATAGGAAGCAGCAGCGAATTGGCCATTGAAGAGCAAGTCATCATGAAGCTTCAATTAGAAGGCGGATGAAGTAGATTTGGAGACTGATGCCTAACAGGAGGCCGATGCCTAACGTCCCGAGAAGGCTGAGCGGCAGTCGCCACATCATCGAAGGCTAGCACACCCTCTCACCACCGCCGCATCATCGGAGAAGATATTCCCGCGCGAAATACAGCTTTCGGGGGTTGGTTCTGACGGGAGAGAAACGGTGTGGTATATTTGAGGAGGGATAGAGCTTTTAGGTGGTAGAAGAGTAAATATTAAAGTTTAGGTGTTAGATAAGTAAATAGAGAGGTTTTAAGTGTTATGTATGTAAAAATCCCATTTATTTAATATTTTTTATAACTTTCACCCCCTTAGATGATAATTATAAAAAATAATATTTATTAATTCTATAAATTACTTAAATATTTATGAATGTTTTATAATTTTTAATTACTGACTTCGACAGGCCTAACGAATTTAGCTTTAAAAAACTTTAACATTTAAAAATATTTAATTTAAAATTTCAATTTACAAATATCAAGACCCAATTTTAAAAAAAAATCAAAATCAAGTGTTTACTACATTCGATAGTTTTATTGGGAGGTGTTTGGAATGTGTTGTATTGGTCTTTGGTTCGAGATTTGTCTTCCTAGTTTGAACGATTACAAGTTGTTGGAGTTTTATACTTAGTTATTAGATTTATTATTATGGAATAATCCTTTAGCATATATAATGTTCACCCGAACTTATTCTTTGCAGATTTGAATTCTTAACACTTACTTTTACAAGCATGTGTTTTATATTTGTATAATAATTTACATGAGCTTCATTATGTTATTATTATAAAATATTTCATATTTATCCACTGTTTTTATTATTATAGCATAAGTCAGTTTAAGATTTTAAAGTGAAAAGTGAGATGGGCATGTTAAATATTGTTGTTTCATGGAATATTCTCGGCGGTAGAGAAAAATAAAATTTATCGTCCTAGCTTTATACGAAGATCTAGTACACATATAAATTAAAGAGTATGGTACATCATTAATAAGAGACACCAAATTTTTTACAAGTAAAAACCTAAAAAGAGAGAAAATCCACAAGGCCAAGCTTTCACTAGTATTTGTAATTGATTACAAATGAGTCCCTTCCTTTGGGAGAAGGCCTTGGCTTGATATATACATTGTATAAAACACAGTACATAATTGGAGAATGACATGACAACCACTCTTAAGAGAGTGTTGATGTGTTTGTTAGCTTAGTAGGGCCGTAGTCGGCAGGGCGAATGTGGTTTGAAGATTTGTAATCGGCGGACGACGGTGGTTGAAAGGACTGTAGTTAGCGAACAACAATATATGGGAGGATATATGATGTTAGTAGCATCCAAAAAGAGTTTCGGTGATAGTTGGAGAATGGGAGGAAGTTTTGACCGCGATTGGTTGTCGGGTAGAACTCTGATGATGGTAGCATTGAATGGAGAGTGCAAGTGAGCTCTCAAGCCTTCTCTCCTCATCTTCTCTCATGTGAAGAATGAGAGGCCATTTATAATTTTTTGGAAGTGACATAGCTAATAAATATGAAAAAGATTAAGGGCATCTTTGGAGTGCTCCATCATACGGCTTATAATGGTCCTCTTAATCATGGCGCATTTATCAAATATTTGAGTATCTTAATGGTGTTAGAATTTGACAATCTTAGGCTAATTGGATTGTCTCATCAAGCCGCTCAGTTGATTATAAGCATGTCATATTTGGATATCATTTGATTCATCCAATTAATGCTTCCAAATGTACTTCGGGCTATTGATTTCACCTATTTGTTCTCTTATTGGACCAATTTTGGTGTTGTTGGTTTCGTCTCTTCAAGATATTTTGTTTGACTATAAGTTAATTGAAATCAGAGTTTAGATGGTCCCAAATTAAATCATATTTGGATATCATTTGATTCATCCAATTAATGCTTCCAAATGTACTTCGGGCTATTGATTTCACCTATTTGTTCTCTTATTGGACCAATTTTGGTGTTGTTGGTTTCGTCTCTTCAAGATATTTTGTTTGACTATAAGTTTATTGAAGTCAGAGTTTAGATGGTCCCAAATTCAATTTTTAAGTCTACCACTTATATTTATGTCGAGATTTGTGTCCGATCAAAATGAATTTTTGGTATGATTAAATTTTTTTAATCATTAGTTTCCTCTCTCTACTTTTAACTATAATTATAAATTTTAATATTTATATTGCACCTACTAATTATCCTCTCTGTGCCCTGCCTTTGCTGTCCTTTTTCTATTTTTACTTTATGAACAAAACATCATATCATGCATGTGAGATCAATTGTATAAAAGTATAGTTATTTGAGTATATTTGAAATTCATTCCTCGATTAGAGCAAGAAGAAGATCATTTTTCCCCCTGAATTTTGATTTATTTGTTTGTTAATTTTGCATTCTAAATATATTATTTATTTAAAATAGGTGGTCATTTATTTAGCATTTAAGTGTCTTAATAATATCAAATTTAGACAATTTTAAACTTGTTGGATTTGTCTCATTAAAGTGCTTTAATGATTTGAGTATAAACATATAAGATTTGAAGATTATGTGATTCTTCAATTAATATCTTGAATTTTTCTATGGTGCTTCAAGTTCTTGATATGACCTCATTTCAAATTTTTGTTGTTGTTTTGAAGTTTTTTTTAAAGTTTGTCTTTAAAAAATTATTTTATTGAAAACATATTTAAAATTGTGGTTGAAAAAGAATCTTTTAAAAACATAAGAAGAATAACATGGTAAAAATTTGTAGGTTATATTGAAGAACATAATAGTACACACAATAGAAATGCTTATTGGCTTCAACAAAGATTAAGGTAACCATGGATGGACTACTCATGATAAGTTGCAACTAAACATAAATCATTTTTTCTAGTTAATGTTAGATCAAATGCTTCCTCCACATCCAATTTCTGAGGACTCCTACCTCCCGGAAGTTCCCAATCAAAGTAGAAGAGTAGTTGTGCAAGCCAAAGCTCCATGCTTGCCAATGCAAAAGATATCCCAGGACAAATCCTCCTTCCACCACCAAAAGGTGTAAACTCAAAGTTTGCTACTCCAAAATCAATTGCTTTTTCTTCAAATCTCTCTGGTTGAAAAATCTCAGGATCTTCCCAATAGTTTGGATCTCTCATCATTGCCCATACATTAATCACAACCCGACTTTCAACTGGTACTGTATAGCCAGATAATTCAACTGTCTCACAACATAATCTTGGTACCAAGAGAGGGGTAGGAGGGTGTAATCTAAGTGTTTCTTTGATAACTTGATTTATATATAGAAGCTTGTGTATGTCTCCCTCTTCTATTCTTACCTTTCCATTTAAGGCTTTTCTTACCTCTAATTGAGCTTTTTGCATAACCTTAGGATATCGAATGAGCTCTGTCATAGCCCACACAAGTGTAGTAGATGAGGGGTCAGATCCTGCAAGAAATAAATCCTAGGAAAAAATATAAAAATAAAAAGTTAGCAAAATACAAAACTCAATTTTGTGCTATGTTCACTAATTATTTTTATTCGCTTATTTTTATAATGACTGTATTTTTTTTTTAAATATTTAGTCACGCTTGTTTAGAAGAAATAACTATTATTTGTGATTAAAATCAAATAATGCTAAATAATTGATCATACAGAGTAATCACAATCTCATTTATTCTAAAAATAGAAGATGAGATCAATTGGAAGAGTTAAGAAATCAAAGAATAAGTAATGAGCGTAGACTTAAGAGAATAAAAAAAGGTATTTCATTTTTTAATTATATTTTAATTCAAAATTTTTGTTATTTTTAATTACGTTTTATTGTTTGACTTAAAACAAAATTTTAAATGAATAAAATAAATAATATAACCTCATTGGAAATCTATTTAATTTATAGATGTATTAAGCATTTCCTTTCTCAATTTCGATTGAATGAGCATAATTTAGAAATTTGACCGTGCAGGATATTCTAATGTAAATTATATCTGTATATTCTTCAAAAAAATTGGATCTGTGCATTTCCTAATATATAATTTATATCATAATATCCCGACACATTTATTTTTCAATGAAGCACTTACTAGTATGATTGCTTTGATATTTTCCATCGTGAGAGATAAATCCAACTCTCCACTTCTCTTAATTCTCAAAAGAACATCAACCAAATCTTCATTTGTATCATCTCCATCCAACTTCTTCCCTTCATGCTCCTTAATTATTTCATTTAAAACACCATCCATTTCCATATGAACTTGCTCCATCCCATGCCTTAATCCACTGATCTCACCAAGAAAACTCCAAGAAGGAAACAAATCAACGACATTGAATCTCGAGAGATACTCAAATGTCTTCTTCATTGCCAACAAAAACCTCTGTTGCTGTGCACTTCCCTTCCCAAATGCAGCCCTCGCAATTGTCACATTTGAAAGGGATAAAAGCATCGCTGACAAATTCACAGGTGATCTCCCTGCCATCCTAATCTTCTCCACAAGATTATTTCCTTCTTCCTCTCTTATAAACTTAAAGGATGTAACCCGCTTTAAGCTAAGCAATTCAACAATACAGATTTTACGTAGTTTTGACCATGTTTTGCTATAAGGTGCCAGGCCAATGTTAGTGTTGTTGTAAAAGATTATCTTGCCTGCCATTAACTTAGGCCTTGAAGCAAATTTGCGGTCATGAGTTGTGAAAATATCACGAACAGATTCTCTGGATGTGATTACTATAAGATTGATCTCACCGAGCTTAAGGTGGAGGAGAGGTCCGTAGGTTTTGGCGAGGTTTTGAAGCCTACGGTGTGGATGCTCGCCTAATAGTTGGTGCAAGTTTCCGATGATGGGGAGCTTCGATGGGCCTGGAGGGAAGTTAGTAGGATTAGAGATTTTGTGAAGGGTGAACCTTTTGATGAGGAGAATTAGGAAGAGAGAGGAGAGGATTGGAGGAAGAAGGATGGAAAGAAGTGGTGATTCCATGGCACAA